GGAGTTTTTCCAACAGCAGCATGTCCATACTACGTTGAATGCTGTAAAGCCATAGCATTAAATCAAAAGTATCCTTCGTTATTTAGGCAAAAGTAGACAGAGAAGAATTTGAGATATTTCAGACATTAATCGTGGCTAATTAAGCCCATTTTGACATAAGAAAGAAACTGAAAACATAGAAGAAGACATGTGGTTTGGTGTGTTGTCAGGCCACGGAGGTAATTACTTGTCAACTAATACGAATTTGGTTGTCAGTTGCTTAGGTATAAAATTTTATTATTTACATTCCCGATGCACGTGCTAGACAATGGTCCCACCAGTGTACACCGCCGCATCACATGCCCACCTGTTGACCTCCGTGGTCTGACAACACACCAAACCACGTGTCTTCTTCTATACTTTCAGTTTCTTTCTTATGTCAAAATGGGCTTAGTAGCTGACTCTAAGACATGACGCATTTTTTAGGCAACAACAATTATGGCTCACATGCAGTAATGTATGGGTAAGTAATGAATGCCTCAATGAGGATAAACTCTGATATAGCAGAACTAAATTGACCGTAAAACTTGGTGATATTTTACAACTCAGACTGACTTGTTAAATGAATTAAAGAAAAGCCTTCACGCGATAAAAGTGTCTATGTATAGTGAATGAGAAGAACTTCCTCTAAACTTAATCTCAATGCGGGTATCAAAATGCGATTCTTAGCTGTAATATCATGGTTATCAGTATGTCCACTCACACATGATCTGGATTTCCATTACAAATTAGCAAACTGCTTGCATCAGTGCAGATTATTATAAGAGGTTTTTCAATGGCCCATACACTCTTTTATTCCCATGTTCCAGGACGATATTTGCCAACAGTTCCTAAGGACCCAGAATGGAACATTATCTAGAAGACTAGTACTCAGCACTTAGAATGTGCACCGATTCAGTTTTAGTGAGCATTTCAGGGTACTTTGCTTAGCAAACACGCAGAAGGTCAACACATGAATGATCTATGGGAATAGCAAAGACCGTATTTGGAATAGTAATTGTAGATCAAGTTAATGAATTAGGACAAAGTTTGGCTCAATAAGTGGAATTGTGAGTCCAACGTGTTTTCTGAGTTCTGGACCATATTGCTATCCATGTAAAGTAGCTTATTGGGAGAAGAGCTGCTTGGAAGTTACAAGCATAGTAACAGATGCAGCTATTCGAGTTGAATGTGAAATCGTGCATATGGCCCATTACGCCGCATCGCAAAGAAGGCGTCTTGTAGGTCAAGAACACGAAAGCGTATAGGCTGATGAGTGTAGAGCATTTCAA